AAAAAAAAAAAAAAAAAAAAACAGCTGGGCATGGTGGCAGGCGCCTGTAATCCCAGCTACTCAGGAGGCTGAGGCAGAGAATTGCTTGAACCCAGGAGGTGGAGGTTGCAGTGAGCCGAGATCACACCGCTGCACTCCAGCCTAGGCAACAGAGCGAAACTCTTGTCTCAAAAATAAAAAAATTAAATTAAAATACGTATTTTGTAGAAACAGGGTCTCACTATGTTGGAAAAGAGGGAACAGTTTATTGTTCTTCTGTTGACATCAGTCCCAATACTGGGTATGTATGTACTCAATACATACTGATTACAGGAATGAAAGTTGTTTGTGTGTTATAGGATGGGATAGGGCATACTTTTCTCAATAGAATATTTATGTATTTTGAAGGAAGTTTTAGGGATGGTTTGTATCTTGGGGATGGGGTTAGGAAATATTTGGCATCTCTTGTGAGAGAGGAGAGACTGAAAGTTTTGTACTGTAAGATTTAGTTGGGAGACATAGGGAAGATGGAAAGGTGAGGAAAGACTCACAGGGAGCAGATCTTTGAGTTCAAATTGTGAGGGAAAGGGACTCTGGCAGAGAGGCAGTGTTGGGGTCTCATGTACATTGCCACATTGCCTGTCTCTGCACAACCCAGGCCCCTGCCCAGCTGGTGTGGCACAAAGCCCTTCGGCCTGGTACAGCCTATGTGCTGACAGAGCTGCGAGTATCCAAGATCCGTGGTCGTCGTCACCGTGTTTGGATGACCAGTCCCTCCTCCCGTCTGTTGCTGCTGAAACCAGAATGTGTGCAGGAGCTGGAACCAGAGCTGGAAGGGCCCCTCTTAGAGGCTGACCCCAAGCCACTCACCATGCCCAGCAACTCCCAGGACAAGAAGGATCCAAAAGGTCTTGTCCGGGATTCTAGACTCCTGTCGTATTCGGTGAGCACAGGGAGAGATCCTAGAGCCTGAGGGGCCAGAAACATGGGTCTCCAAAGAGGAAAAAAGTAGTGGTCAACTGGACCTTGGCCTGTTTGCAGGGAGCAGTCACTGGTGTGTTGAATGAGCCCGCTGGCCTCTATGAGCTGGATGGGCAGCTGGGGCTCTGCCTTGCCTACCAGCAGTTCCGTGGCCTCAGGCGGGTGATGCGACCAGGAGTGTGTCTGGAGGTATGTGAGATCAGGGCTGATAACAAAAAGAGACCTCTGCAGCTTCCCTTACCTTCATGGGCTCCTTTTCTGCAGCAGGGTGGTTACTTCTGCAGAAAGTACAGAAATAAAAAGTGTGTTGGGGGGGCATTTTTGTTAAGGATAACATGGACAGAAGTTTAAATCAAAAAGGAGTAAAGTCTTGGGCCCTGTGAGGAGGGGTTGTGGCCAGACCATCTCCTTCACAGAAGGGCCTTCCATCTGGAGGAGGAGATGGCTAAAGCACAGTTGTGGGGCCCGGCTGACCTCAGGTGGCCTGGTGAGAAGCCTCAGCCGTATCTGTTCATCCAGTAGCCACCCAGCCCACAGCAAGACTGAGTGGAGCTCATGGGAGATGAAGGCTGACCGCAGTGGGAGCGGGTTGTAATGGAAAGCGAGGCCAGTCCATGTGGGAGAAATGGTTTTCCTTCTTCCTGGAACCCAGGCAGTGCCAAAGTGCAGTTAACTTTGCCTGGGGTCATTGAGTTGGGGGCTTCATCTCTGCTTTTCACTTTGTCTCCTTTTCCCCAGCTCCAAGATGTTCACCTGCTCCAGTCAGTGGGTGGGGGGACAAGAAGGCCAGTGCTAGCCCCCTGCCTCCGTGGTGCTGTTCTGCTTCAGCGCTTCTCTCGTCAGAAGCCTGGGACTCACTCATCTCGCCAAGCCTACGGGGCCTCCCTGTATGAGCAGCTGGTGTGGGAACGTCAGTTAGGACTTCCCCTCTACCTGTGGGCTACCAAGGCCCTAGAAGAGCTGGCCTGCAAGTGAGGAGGCTGAGGGCCAGGGTGGGGAGGCAGGGAGAGTAGCACCCTTCCTCAGCAAGGAAAGCAGGATTCTTGAAGAGACAGGGTCTTCCGGGGAAGTGACTGCACTGCTTTTCCTGGCCAAGGCTGTGTCCCCATGTGCTGAGACACCACCAGTTCCTGCAGCATTCCTCTCCTGGGAGCCCCAGCCTGGGACTGCAACTCCTGGCTCCCACCCTGGATCTTCTAGCTCCACCACGCAGCCCCATTCGGAATCCACACAATGAGATCCTTGAAGAGCCACATCACTGTCCCCTCCAGAAAGTATGAGGATGTGGGGGAAAGATGGTGGCAGAGCACTGGAGGACATCTGGGGCCCATGGGACACACACCTGATTTCTCTTCCCTCCCTGACAGTACACTCGGCTGCAGACTCCCTCCTCCTTCCCCACTCTGGCTACCTTGAAGGAGGAAGGACAGCGGAAGGCCTGGGCCTCCTTTGACCCTGAGGCCCTTCTGCCCCTCCCAGAGGCCTCCCACCTGCCCAGCTGCCAACTCAATCGCCGCCTGGCTTGGTCCTGGCTCTGTCTGCTACCCTCTGCCTTCTGCCCACCCCAGGTAAGGGGGATGCCAGCAGGGCTCAGGGGACTTCCTTTTTTTGTCATCCTTACTGCCACTACCCTAGTCTAGGTTATGTTTTTTTTTGTTTGTTTGTTTTTTGTTTTTTTTGTCATTTTGACTACACTAGCCTTCTAGGTAGACTACTTCATCTGTTCCTGGCCCTCTCCAATTCATTCTCCCTGCAGCAACTAGAAAGGGGGGATATGCCAGTAACAGTGGCTCATGCGTGAAAGCAGGAGGATCACTGGAGCCCAGGAGTTTGAGACCAGCCTGAGTAATATAAAGAGACCTTGTCACTACAAAAAATGTTTTTTAATTAGTCAGGTATGGTGGCATGTGCCTGTGGTCCCAGCTACTCAGAAGGCTGAGGTAGGATCGCTTGAGCCTGAGAGATCAAGGGTAGAGTGAGCCAAGATCATACCACTGCACTGCAGCCTGGGCAACAGAGCAAGACTCAGAAAAAAAAAAAAGTTAAAAAAAAAAGTGAAACTGGTCGGGTGCGGTGGCTCATGCCTGTAATCCCAGCACTTTGGGAGGCCAAGGCAGGTGGATCACAAGGTCAGGAGACCAAGACCATGCTGCCTAACACAGTGAAACCCATCTCTACTAAAAATACAAAAAATTAGTCTGACATGGTGGCACACACCTGTAGTCCCAGCTACTCGGGAGGCTGAGG